GTGTGTGTGTGTGTGTGTGTGTGTGTGTGTGTGCTTAATTGGAGATAAGAGTCTCATAGACTTTTCTGCCCGTACTGGCTTCAAACCGTGATCCTTAGCCTCTAAAGTAGCTAGGATAAAGGCATGAGCCACCAGCTTTAATTAGCACATTTTGATGGAAGTTTTATACTTGTATGCTCAGATCACTTTCTCAGTGATTTTTGGTGAACATAGGTACAGAGCACTCTCTGCTGGCCAAAGGGGGGAAAAATACTTGTACAACATTCCGGCAATTTTTTTTGCCTATGCATTTGGATTTTGTGAACATTATAAAATGTTTGTTTCCTGAGCAAAGCACACGAGAGCATTAATTTCAAGGTTATGATCAGCACCTACACTGATAAGATGAACAATTAACAATTCAGAATAATGAATAAAATGTTCAACCGTCCTCTTTCCTATACAGGTCTCGCCGCCTTCCTGCTTGCTCCCGGAGGGAGAGGACATACTGCTGGATAACATGTATCACTTTAATTCGACCAAATGTACTTCCTTTCTTCCTTTTTGGGTAGTGGAGTTCGACCTTGCACTGGCTACAACTCCAACCCATCAGCCAAACTTTACTAATTACGAATTGCTGTCTGTCTTGTTTTCATTTTTACGATGGTGGGGTCTAGAGACCGAGTTCGGGAAGCATCCCGCGGCCAGGGCCGGAGGGCGCATGCCCCGCGCGCGGCCCACGCCCTCCCGCCTCCGCACCCTGCGGCTCCGTACTTCGAGCGCTCTCCCGCACCGCCGCGGCCATCTCGCTCAGGAGCTCTTCCACCACTTCCGGCAGCACGACGGCCATGTCTCCACGAGCTGCACGCTCTGCAGCAAACACGAAGGCAAGTCTGGAACCACCTGTGGAAAATTCCCGCCGGCTGCCAGGGCGGAGCGAGACGGCGTGACGTAGGTTTCCGTCACCGCGCACGAAACCCGCGGCGATGACGTCACGTGCAGACCAATCCGGAGAACGCTTCGCGGTAGGGGTGGGGCATCCGACCGACCCGGCCTGCAGTGCGCAGAGGACGCGGCGAGAGCATGTACGCGTCCCTCAGCTGTGGCTGGGGCCGAGGCCTCCTGCGGGCCGCGGGACGCAGGTGGTGGGGCTGCTCCGCACGTCTGCTCCCGGAGCCGGCAGGAGGTCCAGGACCCGAGGCGAAGGTGCCGCCGTCTCGGGTCGCGCTGCCCTGCCGGGGCCCGGGCCTG